AGGAGACAGACATTGACCAATGCCGGGGGGTGAGGAGGAGAGACACCGACCGACGCTGGGGGGGAAAAGAGGGGATATACACCGTCCAATGCTGGGGGTCACGCAAAAATTTCCTTGGCCGAAAAGGGGTCACAAGTGGAAAAAGTTTAAGAAGGCCTAGTGTAGAACACTTCTCCCGATGACCACCATCATTGGGAGAATGGAATTTGCACTGACCACCAATGTGAGGTAACACTACAGTTTTTACTACATTTGTTTCCTAACTAAAAATGTTACGATTATTACAGATAATAATTTTGCCCTATAAAGTAGGGGGTGTAAAAAAATAATCCACCCCAGGTATTAAATATGCTAAGAATGCCTGAGCATGAGGCAATTTATAATTGGTGAGTGTTGTACAGCAAAAAGGGAGGGCAGTAGGCTGATGATTTGCGCATACCCTCCAAATTTCCACCACTCACTATTTTTTTGAATTGTGAAGCTATCAGCACTAAAGTTTTACTACCAATATTACCATTGACACTGAAGTTGACAAATGTTTGATTGGGTAACTTGAATAGGGACTTTTTACTCCAATGCAACACGTGGGCTTGTCCAAACGTGTGCATTTGAACAATGTTAACATTTGAAAGTGTAAGCCGTAAAATCTCAGCTAAAGTCTCACACCTTCAACAGGTGCGTTCCGGAGTACTGATTACTAAATAAACTAGGTCTAACTTTGGTGCCTATTGGACTGCACAGGCATATTTAGACACCCTGCACAGCTGCTGTAACAGGAAAGTAAAATATGAAAATGGAGGTTGTTACTATCTGCCTGTATATCTATGCTCGTGACTTCATAAGGGTTTTAAGTAATATTGATACATCAGTACAATAAACTTACCCACAATTCCAAAAGCAGACACAGCTCGAGATAATCCTGATGACCCTTTCTGTCCCATTTTCGTCCGGTTTCCGAGGTCAAGGCGACCAAGGAGCTCACGTACTTCTTGCTGGGTGTACACATGCTTAAAGAGAAGTAATATAATTTAGAGCATCATATGATTAGAATGTTATGGATGAAAGATCAAGGTCCAAAGAAAGAAAATTGTTAGGTATGATTTCTTTGAGGCTATTGTATGCAAGCACAGAAAATATCTTTTTGGCCTAATCCTATTATCTCAAGCATGAGCACCATGGTGCACCTTTACTGAAAGAAAACAAATGAAACAAAAACAAACACTGTCTCATCTTTTACATTCCACAGTGAAAACTACTCCAAAGTTACCGTGACTGATTGCATCACAATATTCACATCCTAAACTAATTTTTCATGTAGACACAGAAAATAACAATTCCCCTGTAAATATAAACAAGCTTTTCAAAGGGTTATTCAAATTAAACTAGGAAGGGCATATATAATATAAACGTCTGCCTCCAAGGATGTGAAAGTTCTGGTCGGTGTGAAAGCATGTGCAGCCGCATCCTCTCATAGAGATGTATGTACAAGTGGCTGCACATGGCTACACACAGCACCTGTCCCTCCTGGGTACAGGTTTCTGCACAGATGTGCATGCTGTACAACTGTATGAGACCTAAAACATACATACTGACTTATCAAGGGTTACTAGAGATACTTTCCCACAAATACCAAACACCCTGCCCTGAACGTCTGATTCTGATGATTAGGTGCCATTTGAAAAAAACCTACAATTATTAGTAAGAAAGCATCAGAACCTTGCTGTTTTTGAGGCCTGTAAGACTCGAACAGTCACTGAGATAGAGAAACATTTAAAAATCTAGCACTCCTGTGGGCATCCTTTTGTTACTGCTGCCTGGTCTGAGTAGATAAATTCTGGCATACTTTTCTTCCCCAAGAAAATGAATGAGAAAAATGATAATATAATGAAAGAGAATACCCTTCAACCACAAGATGGTCTCTAGAATAAAGCAAGCATATTCTTTGCAGCATCAGTAGGAAAAAAAAACTTTGTTCTAGAGTGTCTGGGGTACCAAACATTACATAACCCTTCCATAATGTCCACAGAGAGAAGCCATGACTTTTACTGACAACCAACTTTGGCTGTGGGTTTACCTTTGCATACTCAGGACTTGGGAAGGTCATAGCAGCTACAAACATTTTAACTACAAAACATCTGCACATATTTATAAACACAATGTATATTGCATTTTGGGTAAATCCATTATTCTGCTGGTTCATATCTTTCTTCACAATTAGAGAATAACCCCTAAGCACAATATTATCCAAAAGATGTGGTAAAAGAAAACAGGGTCCACCTGCCTGACATTCTTCAGCTTTTGAAAAGCAGAACTCTCCTCTCCTGTTGCAATTTTGATTTTGTTTTTATAGAGTCTTACCTAACATCATCGTAAGCATATAATTCTCTGTGTTCACACATATATTTATTAAGATATCATCTCTTTAACACTTAACACTTCGTGAAATGGTAAAGCAGCAGGACTCCTCATCATCCACCAGGAACTACTAGCAAAAGTTTAAAGTTTAAGCCAGGTGCAGGCATAGTTCTCATTCCACTGCAATTAATGACTGGGTGATGAAGATGAGTAATGTTACTTTCCCCAGGTCTACCAATAGTCAATGCAGGTAATGGAATGACGCAGCCACTGCTTAGCTACCATAGCAGCAGCTACATCTCTGTCCATCTGCCAGCATTTGTTCTCGGTTGGTTCAACGTCTACTAACAAGCAGTGAAGGACAACCAGCAAGCAAAACAGATATTAAACATAATGTGGTTGCATTGCCCTTTTCCTCACTGTGAGGCTCTACAATCTACAAACCAGACCAGTATCTGCTTTTGTGATATCACCACACCTAAATATTACCATGGTACAAAAAGAAACATTTCTAATAATACACCTTTAAATAGAGGTTATGATTTACATACAGGGGTGGACAAATTAACATGGAATTAAGAAGCCAGTCTGTCCAATTGAAGAGACAGCTGGATTTTTTTTAAGCAGCCAGCTCCGTTAGTTACAGTCAGTGTACCCATTGCACTCCTTACCGCTTAATCCTTGATAAATAGGTTGGGTGCAGCAGTAGTCGACGGATGGCCACCGTCTGAGTTGAGTATATGAAATTATGGACACCAGCACTCCAAAGTAGAATAACGTATTTTATTGACGTGTCATGCAACAATACACTTATTGCAACGTTTCGGGGTCACACAGGATCCCCTTCATCAGGCAGAACATAAGTGTATTGTTGCATGACACGTCAATAAAATACGTTATTCTACTTTGGAGTGCTGGTGTCCATAATTTCATATACTCAGCTCCGTTAGTTAGGCGCCAGCTGTAATTTTTAAGGAGCACTGGCTACCTGGCCCCCAGGATTTGTCCAGCCCAAGTTTACAAATAATTTTTTTAATATTATTTGCATGGATTTTATGATGGCATTTCACTCACCTTATCATCTATAATTACCAGGTCTTTTGGTTCAGTCCGATCTATTTTCAGAACTCGGTATTTTGTTTCTGCCTGATTGCTCCCCACAAGAAAATACCTCTGATTTTAAAACAAAACAAATTCATAATCAATTGCCAGCTTTGTTTTGCTTAATAAGAACTATTTTTAACTAGTAGGAGAATACACATCAGATACTAATTTAACTGCAGGTGTTACAATGCAATACACAATGATTTTTGAATACATGATGCTCTAGACAGAGGTATAATATATAAAAGGTTAATTAGACTGCAAGGCGTAATATATTAAAGAAAGTACTGGAAGTAATGGAACTGGAACTGTCCTTATCCTTAGGCAAACATACATTAAGCCCAAAACTTCTGGGACCTTGCATCACGATCATGCTTCAGACAACAAACAACCATATCAGATCATGATAATGCACAAAATAAATGATGCTTGAGCATGAGATGAAAAATCGGTTGGCCACATTGGATTTGCAGATGATTTCCACTTGTCTCATGAGAAGCGAGTTACAGTACATGGGGTAAGAGTACAGCATGTACTAAAGACTGCATGTGCATGCTAAGTATATAAAAACATTTAAGGGTCTAATAATTCACAAACCTGTGCAAGTTAAAGATAAGCAAACTTCGCTATGCAGGAGTACATCTCTGAATGTACAAAACCTCATCTTTTGCCTGTTCTTGCATTAACAGAAAATTATTAATGCAAATGAAATGTGTTAAATAATTTTATTAAAAATGAAGTCAAGAGAATTTTAACTTAATTTAAAATGGGAAGCATTAAAAAAAAAAAAAATGCTAATTGGAACTCTTGTTCATTAGCAGTAACGCCATGGGATGTGAGGTTTTAAAGTTTTGCATTACTGTAGTTAAGAGTAAAAACTATATATACACCTCATGTAACTGAACATAATATTTTGCAGTCGGTTAAAGTAACACTAAATTTAGGAGTTAAATCCTAAATAAACATTCAAGTACCTTAACTATTAACAATACTGGACTTTATTTGTGCATCACTCAGCTGTAGATCCTCAAATCATCTCCGAATCCGTGCTGTGGAGGGTGGCTACTTTTGTTGCACATGGTCCCTGCGTGTGTTGTAAAGTAGTCACCGCTCCAAGCACGCTCCAGTAATAGACTAAAATCTCACGTTTAGTTTAATCACTTGTATTGAGATTGTAGTCCATCATGGAAGTGAGCTTGGAGTGGTGATTACTTTACAATACACAGAGGGATCAAGAGGAACAAAAATAGCCACTCTCCAGAAGCAAGCAGTAGATATATGCAAAAACATTTTTAAAAGAAATGTCAAGTTACTTCGGTCTCCGACGCTCTCTCCCGTCCGAAGAACTGAAGATTCTCGAGCGGCTGAGCAGCATGAAGGGGTGGGCACATGCGCAGTACAGATCTGCAGCGGGGAGAAGAGGAGACTCACTGAAAGTCAATGCACACAGCCATGAACGTGCACACTGGACAGACACCGTGGGACAAGAAAGAGCCGGGAGTCTGCAGTGCATCAGAAACTGGTGTTCTGTCAAAGAACCCCCGACTCCATCAGAATTGCCGACCTCCGCATCCACGCATGCACACAGACCGGGATTAACGGTTGGTGGTCAGTGGGAGAAAGGACCACTTACATTGTTGGCCAGTGGGTAGAGGAATGCCCCATTACATTGCTGGTTAATGGGAAGTAATGCCCCTGACATTGGTGGTCAGTGGGAAGCTTTGTCTGCTTGCAGGTCAACATGATTAATGGTGCCAGTGTTTGCTTAAATTAGAGATTAGAGTAGACTTGGTTCACCTGGTCCCATTTATGTTGACTTCGGCATCATCAGGAGGGAGATAATTTCGCCTCTGCTGAAGGAACTCTTAGCAACTTTTGGAGGAACCCTAATGTTCTACAGAACCCTGGTTTGGAAAGACTTGTCTAAAATATAAAGCTTTTCATCCAAACAGCTGTTTCACTCTAATTAGTGTGGGACATGGAAAACATGGTTTTAATAAAGTAGGGCTTTGTAACAACAAGACAATAAAGGATGTTAATGCGAGGATGCTAAAAGGAACCAAAGGCTCTTCTAAAAATTATAGTGAATCACAGTACATTTCCTACTTAAAACAGAAGATATTAAGGGGTGTTCAATTTTTATGCAAATCAAACAAAAAATGTTTATGTCTTATTCAATTCATACATTTAATGGCTAAATGTGTATCCAGGATCGCTGGCTTATGGCACTCATAAAGCCAAAAGACAGGACAATTCTGAATAGATAGTTTGCCAGTGTTACATAAAGGAATTTTCTCTTGGTCCCTCCTCACAATACCCTGCACTACAAATGAACTACAAAATTAAACCTGTACTAAAGGTAAAATTAGGCTTTAAGAGTAAGGAACAAGAGTACTTTCTTGTGAAATTTAAGAAGCTCTTACTGCGGAGAACAATGTGAATGAAAGAGTTACTACCACATGGAATTTGTGACTCTGCAAGAGGCATTCACAAACTGCACCTAGGAGGTATTTGGGTAGAAACATTAAATGGTCAGTCCGCCCAAAAAGGATTTTGGTTTTGCTCAGGGCTAGAGAGTTTAAAAGGCTCCGTCAGCCATTATACTAACCTCTCTGGCTGCCTATGTCTCCTACCTCATCTCCATTCCAGCTGCAGCCTCCGTCAGTGTCTTTGGTGTGTGACACCTTTTGGAGTGTCGGATGCCTGAGTCCTCTGACTCTCTATGGCACCTTTCTTCAAAAACTACATCCCTACAGGACATAGCAGTGACATAGTGATTAGAGGAGTGTGTGTGTGTGTGTGTGTGTGTGTGTGTGTGTCTACAGCTGAAATATCACTTTTGTTTTTTTCCAACTTTAGATTTTTATTAAATTATAAAATATCTGCAATACAACAATGTTGACTACATTCAAAAAATTGATACAGGTTTGGTATGTTAGCACTTATAAGACTTATACAACATCATCTTCTAAACCTTAGAATTCTTCCACCTTGGGATCGAGAATGTCAAAATGGACACAACGGAATGTAGTAGTAATTCAACCTCCCTATGTGAATCCCACAGTGAAAGTATCCATGTCGATCAACATTTCCAACATTAGAATAACTCTGAGAAGGAACATACTATACTAGAGGGTATCTATAAGGGAAGGGGTAGGAAAGAATGGGCGGGGGGGATGACGGAAGGAAGGGGATAAGAATGACAGAGAGGAGGAGCTATGTGTACGCAGACAATAAAGTAGTGGCACAACGTGAAACATAGTAATGTCAATCTACTCTCTTACTTTAAGTATTTTGTTTAGAAAACCTGATCCAGGAATCCCATCTCTTATGGAAAAGGTTCTCAGAGTTCACTCTGTAGGCTATTATTCGTTCATAGTGACAGTTTGAGGACACTCTATGAATTACGTCTGTTATGGTTGGAATGATGGGGGATTTCCAGTTGCAAGCTATGAGAGTCCTAGCTGAAAATAGTATATGCAGGATTACTGATCTATACTTGAGGGTATTTGTCAATAGAGATACTTAATAGCGCCATTTCAGGTGAGAGCAAGGATTCTATTCCAGTAAATTTGTGAATAATGTCTGAAATAGAGCGCCAAAAGACCTGTATTCCATTACAGGACCAAAATATATGGTATAAATTACCTACATGTCCACACTTCCGCCAGCACAAGGGGGATGTGTTCGGGAATATTTTAGATAATCTAAATGGGGTGAGATACCATCTGGTCATTATCTTTTGGGCATTGTCCCAATGATCGATACACCATGAGTGGGTCGAATTAGCTTTAATAGCTGTTTCCCATTGTCTGTCCGATATTTGTAGATGTAGATCCGCTTCCCATTTGAGCATATGGGGGGTCTTGATAAAATTTAAGTAATCTTGCAAAATAGAGTAGAATTTGGAAGTCCCCCCTTACGAGGCCTTTTAGATATATATATATATATCCCACGCTCTAGTGGGAATGGATATCGTCTTGCACTTAGACATCGACCAGAAATGGGAAATCTGTGAGTGACGATACTGGTCCAGAGGTTTGGATAGGGAGTTTAAGGAAGGTAAATGAAAATTGTTCACTACTCCTCCAAGAGGAGAGATTCAAGTGTGGTATGAGGACTTCATATGAGGTTAGTGGAACCGGAATATCTGTCTTAGGAGAGTGTGGGAAAGGCTTATCAACTAAGTATTGCCAAGATTTTAGGGAAGATAAGAGAGAGGGGTATACTGTAGGTTGGAGTGACCTATTCAAAGAGTTCGCTATCAACCAGGCTGGCAGATCTCCTCTATGGACAAAGTGTTGTTCCATAGTGGACCATAGATTATGATGTGACGGGTGGAACCAAGCATACAATTGATCTAATAGAGAAGCATAATAGTAATGTTTTAGATTTGGGAGTCCCATTCCCCCTTTATTTTGCTGCGCCACATAGTTGTGCGTCTCACTCTGGTTTTTTTCCCCTTCCATATATACCCATCAATTATACGCTGCAGCTGTAAAAAGAATGATGCTGGAAGTAAGATAGGGATGGTCCAGAAATAATATAGGATTCTAGGAAGTATGAACATTTTAAATGACGAAATTCTACCTATCCACGACAACTCGAATTTGGTAATACGGGTCAATTCAGATTTTACAGACTCTATAAGGGGTAAGAAATTACTCTTATAAGTATTTTTGGATGAGGACGTGAGTTTAATTCCCAAGTATGGGATCTGTGACCTATCCCATTTGTATGGATATTCAGCCTGCAGAATATTCATAACAGATTTTTTGATATGAAGCGGTAGGATTAGTGACTTTCCTGCATTAACATTGTAATAGGATAAGTTTGCTGAACATTTGAAGAGTATGCTGTACCGCAGCCAGGGAAGAAGCCGGCTTCGAGAGTGTTAGGATGATATCATCCGCAAAAAGGCCAATTTTGTGGACCTGGGGTCCCACCTGGATTCCTTCAATTAGCGGATTGTTTCTAATGGCCATTGCTAAGGGTTCCATGATAAGTGAGAAAATAATTGGTGAAAGTGGACAACCTCAGTATATAATGCTAATATTGCCGAGAGAATA